ATCTGAAGATGAAATGGCTCTCCAACAGAAGCACCAACAATGCTGATCTTGAGAGATAAAGCAGTTAGATTTGGACTAAGTTGAAATCTCACTCAGTCATGAAGCTTCCAGGGGAACTTTGAATCAGTATACAATTTGCAACCTAAGCTCTCTCTCTCTTATGGGGATTAAATGGAGTGGAAAGGAATAGAACCATCTGAGCTTGATGGATGAAAGGGGCAGGTCTATCACAGCCTTCACCATGAGTGTTATCAAGCGATAAAATGGTAGTTCAGCACTTGAGTTGCTTTTCCTTCATTGTTCTCTTAGGAACGGCAGTGTTATTGTGATGCATAAAGTCATCTCCCAAGTCCCAGTACAGAACAATTTGCAAATGATCCAGAAGCAGATGGAGAATATTACAGTGTCAGTGAATAACTCCTTGAAAGACACCCATAGCGAAGGGGACTGTAGCAGGCTTTCAGGTATGGGCTGGCTGGGTTAAATTCTTCCATTTGTATGAGATATTTGAATATTCTTTCCCTCTTTTGAGAAATAGTAGGAATTTCAGGGCTATTTCAGCAAGCAACAGGAATATCAGTGGCTTACATCTTTATAGGTATGTATATGTTCATAAATAAAAATGCTGATGTATGTGTTTTGGATAACAAGAAGATGAAGTAGCGGTTTTATCTACATATATTTAACTGGAAGCATCTTCACTCTTGCTGACCTTGAAATTTTTGCAAATACAAAATTTGCAAATACAAAAAATGAAAACAAGATAAATACATAAAGTGATGTAGAAAGTAAAAGAAAAAGAAAAAGAAAATATAACATGGATAATATAAAACCCACAAAAGCATACAGGTCATATATTCATGGACAGATATATATACAAATTCTACATAAGTAGTTCAGTAAATAGCAGCCAGATTTAATTGTAATCATTCATAGTAATCTATATAGTTATCTACACTAAGTGATAAATTGCTAGTAAATTATATTTGCAGACCAGTTGTGGGCATATGCTTGTCTTTCCAGTGTTGAAGAATAAGCCTTTTAGCTGTAAGTATATCATAAAGAATCCAGACATATTGCCAGATATCAATTTTTATGCTATAGGAATATATTGGAAAAGAAAATGAACATCTGAAGGTATTAAATCTCATCTCAGATTTGAGTTAATACAAGTTATAACTTCCTCTCCCAAAGGAATAACTATAGGACACTAGAAACATTGGTTTAAATAAAGCATTAATCTCATTGCATTAGCATGATACCAGTTTGAGCATTCAAATATATATAATCTGGATATCTGCATGGAATAGGGCTTTTGGGGGCACTGTGCCCACTTATAGAATGCTCTCCCAAAGGAGGCTACCATGTTGCTATTGTGCTGGTGCCAGGCAAAGGATCTCTTTTTCTCCAGGGAATTTTAGATTTTGAGAGTTAAATTGTGAAAAGCCTGTTGTGTTGGGACGTCAGTGTTTATCATTATTTTCTCTCCTATCTAATTTGCTAGTAGGTAGTTTAAAAAGAGCAAATAAATAAATAAATAATGCATAGGGTTTCCCCCCATAATTTATATCAGCAGGTTGGAAAAGGTTGGAACAGGTAAAAGATAATTCAGGTGACTAAGGAGATTGGGGGATGTTGTGGGACTCAGGCCAAGCACTGCTGTGGCAAAGAATTTTGTATGTGAGCTTAGCCTTTTGAGATTTGTAGGACTCATTCAACAAATATGAAATCTGAGGTGTTTAAATAAAACAAAGTTTGAAGATACTAATCTTGTTGATAATTTCCTAGATTGTCATTTAAAGAATTTCAATGAAATTCAAATTAAAAATATTGGTGTTTTTCACAACATTTAGTATATTTAGATTTGGTTTAATCCTGAAATCTAGATGAGCTGATATTTTCGACTTCTGTCAAATTGTCCTGTTTACATTTTAAAGTTAGACACTGATGATTTTTTGACATCCCAGATGACGATTTCTTCTACCCTTGACTGCTTCAAAAGGATGATTTTCCTTTGGGGTTTAAAAGAACCCATTTAATATCAGAATGTTTTTGGTACAGAAGAATCTTGGAGGAAATAAATACAGAGAAACAACAGCCCCAGATCACTAATCAGTGCAACTATATTGTTTTCTTCCAGAACCAGAACTGTGCTTTGTTCCTTTACCTAATTCAATTCTTGACACAACTGTACTTTATTCACCAGAAGGTAAGTTCCAGTAAACAGATGGGTTGATAATGATAGCTCTGTCAAGATTATCAGGAGTATGTTTTACATTTTTAAATTACTTGATTTTTCCATCTATATTTTAAATGTGTAATTGCTAATAGTACATAGATGGAAGTCCCTAGAAGATTTGGTGGTATATAGATGTAATCAGTTAATGAATCAGTCAATCTCCTCCAATTCCTTTATGTCCACTTGTAGCATCAGCCCCATAACTCAGCCATGGGAACTTCTAGTCCAAGTGAGCATCACCAGACCTTCAGGTTTTGCTTGCCAGTTAACCCATCTGACTGAAAAACCAGTTTTACCCATCTTCTGTGCTTTGCCATCCCATGTGTTCCATTCTTCTGTAAAACAGGCTGACAAAATTGACCCACAATCAGTGCCCACCAGAAAGGCCCTCTGAGGCAATGTCAGGAGGAGAAAATGCAGAAGAGGCTGTGCAGGGCATGCTAGAAAATGTTGCTGTTTTGTGCTCTTCTCTAGCCAGCCCTCCTTGACAGACACAACCAGACGTCCATGTTAAGGTGCCAGTCCTTGAGCCAGCAGAAAAGCATATGGGCATAAAATTTTGTGGCCCCGGTTGTCAATCTCTATTCTGCCATAGTTGTGAGGCCTGCTAATGGTGCTGTCATTAATGAATTAATGTAGGACAAGTTAAGGAAACTGGCTGGCATACCCCTTGGTTTTGTTTCCCCTCCCACCAACCATAGAAAACAACCCTCAGTTAATGTTCTTCAAGTGGGCCAGTGTAGGTTTGAGTAGTGTAAGTGGGTGCTTGTAAGGACAGATTTAGCCAACTGTGAAGTGCCTAACAGGTCACAGTGCAAAGATACTCAATACCTGTGATCTGTCAGTAGGGTTATTTCCAAACATGGATCAAGTGCTCTTCTGAAAGAGTGTTAAACCTGTGTTCCAGTATAGACCAGGTGGTAGACCATAGGCACACAGATGTGAGAGACTATGGGAGGAAAGCAGGGAACAAGGGATTCGGTTTATTTGAGATGAGGCAATATAGTTCAGATATGAGAGATTTGGGAAGAAGGCATTTCAAAGAAACTCTGCTGTAATTAATCACTATAACTCTAGATGGGAATTTACTCTTACAGTTTTCAAGATTCTGTCTTCACCCCTACTAGCATTCAAGAGACTTTCTTGAAATCCATGTTCTTCTTGCTTCCTCAGTTTGCCAGTTATATGGAATATGATAGTAGGAGAACAATGCTCGTGCTCAGTGCAAACCTTCTTCTGTGCCTGTGACTTATCAGTGAGGTTCTTTCTGGACTGAGTTCAAAAATAGCCCAGCTGACAGCTAAGAAGAAGGACTTGGGGTGAAGTGGAGCCAATAATGAGTGAGCTCTGTCCTGCAGCTAGTGCTGCAAGGGAATGGCAATGGTGGCTGTGAGTGACCAAATGCAGTTCAGCAGCACTCAGAAGTGGCCAATGGACACCCACAGAAAACATGTAATTGTGATTGGCCCACATGTAACCATATCATCACCATAGCTCCTAGTTCTGTCGAAGCTGAAATGGCTTAGGCAAAATGGGGCCCCATCCCCTAGGCAATAAAAATTGTAAAAAGTACAACCATGCAAACCCCATTTTCACCAGAAGCAACGGAGAACATGTCATGCACCCAAGAGTAACAAAATCTGCAACACACAGCTCGTAAAATCTGGCTCTCTTTCCTGGCTTAAACTGACCTGTCTAGTACCAGGTTAGCACTCTTTCAAAAGAGCAGTATGCTAATTTTTTAAACATGGGTTTAGCACTCTTTTGAAAGAATGAAAAGCCATGTTCATAAGGAGTGCATATAATACCTGACAAATTCTTTGGAAAAATCAGGCATTATATGGACAGATGGCCCCTTAGATGCCAATTATTCAGCCCAAGCCCAAATGGCCTTAGAAAGCCATTCACAGCAACAAGAGACAGGGATAGGAGATGGGCAGATCCAAACGCCTAACTTCGCTAGCAACCATTTTGTCAGTGAAGTGTGCCAGATTACACCCACAGCAAAATATTGTGTCAGGAGAAAAGGAAAACATTTCAAAATTTGAACAACTAAGGATGACTTTGAGAGACAGTTTGGTGTAGTGGTTAAAGACCCCAGGCTAGAAACCTAGAAACTGTGAGTTCTAGTCCTGCCTTAGGCACAAAGCCAGCTGGGTCAGTCACTCTCTCTCAGCCCTAGGAAGAAGGCAATGGCAAACCACTCTCACAAACATTATCAAGAAAATTGCAGGCATTTGTCCAGGTAGTCACTAGGAGTCAAGACTGTTCTGAAGGCACCAAAAAAAAAAAAAAACCAAGCTAACCATGTTCATGCCGAGGTTAGGGGGACATGAGGAAGAATTCAAAGACAACCTCTCCATCTTGTATTTTAATTGTATTGTAATTTCCATCCTTGGTATTTTAATGCTTGCTTGCAGAGCTCTGCTATCTGTAAATTCTCATAGCTTCTGCACTTGCTTGTTCTAGCTCATACTATCATCTTGACTCTCAATCTTCACCCCTACAGGGGCACCTCCATGCTAATGACAATTCACTCCTGTATATTTTCTTTTCTTTCCTACTCACCCCAAACCATAGGAGGATTTCCCCCCCAAAACTGATGTTGCATAGCGCATGCAGCAGATGGGTGGTGGAATAGAATTATATTGTTAAATTTCAATACATTTGTTGCATTCTCTATCTTCAGATCATAGTCCAGTCCAATCATGTTATTTGTCCTGTATGAAATGTCCACATTTCAGTAGATAATGAGAACCATTTATTTTTCAGACATTTGCAAAAATAGTAGTGATCCAAGGTATGCAGACTACTATTATCCCCAGATAATAGAAGGCTCTCTGCGCTGTATCTCGAGATGTGTCAAGGGCACTCAGGGCTCCATGAACTGCTTCAATGGTGTTTGTCGCATTTTTGAAATTGGTCCCCAATGCAGGTAAGTAGACAGAGGAAGGAGTAGCAGCAAAGGAGTCCCTAGATCCAGATTTGTCATGCCACTTAAAGCCTGAAATAAAACTACCATCAGAATTAGTAACTAACTAGGGGATTCTCCCACCTTCCTCAACTTTTTTGCTTTTAAAACCCCCAATATTTCTTAAATGTCCTGTAGACGTTGCTATCAGTATAGTTATTAACAAATTAAACATGAAAAATCTATGAAAAACTAAGAATAAGAAAAGCAAGGTAAAGAAATTTATTTGGAGTGCCAGATTGTACAAAATGAAAGAGGGATTTTGGTATCCTGGGATCCTTCAGTTGATGTTTCAAAGGAGCCCTCTCTGAGTATTGACTCTACCATTAACTCTGCAAGGGTAGAGTGATTTTGGGGGACTGTGATACTTCAGGAATGAGTGAGAATATAATAATAAGAATTTCCCTGCATTTTAAAATGAGATGACCTCAAGAAAAAAAAATGAAATGCTTTTTGTGATCTATGTTAGGATTTGGGAGCTTATGATCCTGAGGGCATTTCAATCTCCATTTCTGGGAAGCTGGGTTGGGAGTGGCTGCCATGACAATTATGGGCTTGTCTCAGGTAATCACTCATCTAACTCATGCAGGTCTCAGGTAATCACTCATCTAACTCATGCCACATGCTTGACCTAGGTTTTTTTTTTGAGCAGTTGGGTTGTATCTAACTGTATATGGTGGACATTTCTAATTTCTGATCATCTTATACTTACTACCATGACCAACCTCTGTAGAGAAGGAGAACAGATTAGGCTGGTCTGCCCAAGGTGCCTTATGGACAACAGAACCATACACATCTTACAGGAGCTTCATTGGTTACCAGTAGGTTTCCAATTTCTACCGGACTGTCTCCTGTGAATAAAATTTCCCTGAACTTGCCACTCATGAAGGTGTACTTATGATTCCCTCTCTCTAAATAATTTGGGGGGATGGCAATGCAGAGACAAGCATTCTATCTCTGTGGCTGACCCACATGTTGGAATTCTCTTCCCCCTGGAGTTAGGATGGCTCCCTCCTTACTTGTGTTCCAGAAACAGGTGAAAAACATTAGAAGATAGGTTGACTGGAAAGTTGACAGTTATAGAGTTGCAGGGGGTTATGATTTGATGCCTACTGCTAATTTATTCTATTTTTATGATATGTTTAATTAAAAACATTTCTGTAATGTTAGTTTTTTATGATGTTTTGCTATTGTGAGTCAGAATCTCATGAAATGGGCAGCATAGAAATATTGTAAATAAAATAAAGGGAGAGCCTTCTTTATCGACCTCTCTCTCTCTCTCTCTCTCTCTCTCTCATAGTTGCAATGATTTGGACATGTTCTGGTACCTGGATAGTTACTGTCAATTACGTATCCAAAAGAGCACTGTGGGCCTTAGTCTTGCCCTGGCTGTGCTCTTTGTGGGCAGTATCATCCTGACTATGTTCCTCATCAGAGCCAAGTGGAAGAAATCTAGGAACAGGTAAGAAGCCTGAGGGTACATAGTAGTAAAGTAGAAAATGGACCAAGGACCATCTGACTGAGAAGGGTGCCCTAATGACTTACAACATCCTTTTAAAAGAGCTAGAAGACCTGAACACTCTCAGAGCAATATATGGGGGGGGGGATGGTTATTTTGGGTTATGTAAGAGATGAAGAGGCTACTATTATTAGTGAACCAAAGAGTTGGTAGCCTGAGGTGAAGAGAATCACCTGGTTTGTATCTTTGTTTTTTCCAATGATCTGTGTTTTTTCTTGCAGATGGTTTGATGATTTTGAGATCTGGTACAGACAGGACACAGAGGAAGAGTGGATACCATCAGCGGGTCTGACCATCATGAATGAACCAGCAGTTTCCTCCTGGAATGGTAAGTATTCATTCTACCATGAGGAAGATGACATCTGTGGCAAGCACAGAAGTTTATCCTGTTAAGAGTCAGAACTTGCTCTCCACAGCTTAGACTCAAAGCTTTAATGAAATGCAAGGAACTGTTATTTATGTATCCAGAAAGACCTTTGATGGGATAAAGGGGGCTTTCATATTTTTGGCCAATATGTCATTCTAATTATTGGAATTTTTCTTTAGAACATCTAAACCAAAATAAAACCTTCAACCCATGCCTCAACTCAGTAGATACTTCAGTACAGGTATGTATAACTGAATGCATCTTTCCAGCAGAAAGCAGATATTGTAATGCGTAATCTGGAGAAGGGCATCAAGACATGTAGAGTTAAGAAGTGTGCTGAGTGTGTAGGAATAGAATTTGTTCACTCAGAGTTGAATTTTTTAATGTTGATGCTTGCAAATGAGCATGTGAATGAAGTGATCTGATATGCTGAGACTGAAAAAGAATTTAGTAAAGTACTTAATCAATACTCCTGAATAATTAGCTGTCATACAGTATAAATAGTACAAGTGTTCTTGTGGATTTGTTAAGGCCTGAAGATTTTGAGAAAGTGAAATGGAAAACTTACTGAAAACCTACCTTGCTTTGGACATAGATGGCTTTGGAAATTCAAGAAATCTACTCATGGAAGCATGAAGAAGAATATTACCTTGTGATATACTTACTAAATTCACACATTCCAAAACAAAAGAAGCAATATTAAAATTAAAAAGGAATGATACTCTTTTAAAATTTGGAGACATAATAATTGAGATTCTACCGAATGTGCCTCTGGATATACTTAGAAAGAAGAGAGGCTTAAAATCTCTAGCAAATGATATTTAAGAAAGAAATATCATATATAGGTGGGCTACTCCATTCCATCTATGGATCTTTATTGATGGTAGTAACCTTTTATATATTCAGCTGATGATGCCAATAGAATGCTTGAATCATTGACAGAAAAGGTGAAAAATGGCCAAGAACAGACAGAAGATAATAATAATAATAATAATACTAATAACATCAACAACAATAATAACAGCAACAACAACTGGACCAAGCAGCTGCTTTTCCACTATAAATTACTCTGATAACTGATGCCACGGATCAAATTAAAATATTTTCAACTAATATTAATGGGCTCAATTGCTCATTTAAAAAGAAAAAGGTTCCAGTCAGTCTTGTATGGGGGAGGTCCAGCCCACAATCCCTGCAATATAATATAACACTTTTCAAGAAATTCTGGTTAAACCAATAACTCAGTCCAATAATATCAATGACTTTCTTTGTCGTGGAAAGAAGCTTTTATCTTTCCGATCTAGATCTAAAGAAGGAAATGACCCAGCTCATCCACAGTCATACAAACTTATTTCCTTATAGACTATAAACATTTTACAGTAATACTTGCAAAGGAAATAAATGGCCTTCTAACTGAACTAATATGTCCTACATTAATACAACTGATAATGGAACATATATAATGGAGTCAGGATATCAGATCAACAAGGATAAGATCCAAATCTTGACATGGAAGAAGAAAATTTGCATGCTGAAGAAGGAAAGCAATTTTTGCAGCAAATAATGTTATTTAATAATACTGCTAAAAGGGATAAATACATGGGGATTTTCTTGACAAAAAATAATAAAGACCTAATTAAAAATAATTATTTACAGAACTGGAAAAAATATAATGGCAGATGTCTTAAGATGGAGAAGGTTAACACTGTCTTGGTTAGGAAGAATTGCAGCTATTAAAATTAGGCTGCAATTATGGCTCACCTTTCTCTTTTAAATTATTACAATAAAAATTGAAAATAAAGTATTAAATGACTGGCAAGACGAGAAACAAACTTCATATGACTGAATACAAAATTTAGGATTAAATTTAAGATACTACAGGATTTGAAAGAATGAAGTGGCCAGGCAGTACCAAACTTCAAAATGTGCTATCAAGATAGCTGTTTAACTTGGATTACAGACTGGATTATATCACTTTATGGTTGGATTTCTTCTACTGATGGAAGAGGACTTCC